AGACACTGCACTCACTCCTCCACATTCCTGCTCCTGACTGTGTTGTCTGCGGACAGACAGCGGGACAGAGCTCTTCTTTTGCTTTTTAGTCAGTGTTAGCTAGCTGAGGCAAAGAAGTTCCCTGGACTGTTTTTTTTCCTTTTTCTTTGAACCTCTTGAAACTGCTCTGGACTGAACACCCAGGGGAGCACCGGCAGCTGCACCTGTGGCCCACCGGGCCAGGCCTGGCCTGCGACATTGCCAGCACCGGAGGGACCGATCAGAAACTGAGTGAGCTGCTGCTTGAACCTGGGGTTTTCTCAGTTTGTCATCTCTTTTAGAGTGGCAAGGGGTTCATTGTTTTGATACTGTTTTGGTCTTATTGTTTAATAAACAGTTTTTTTCCACCTTTCTCCAAGGAGGTATTTTTTCCTCCCAGACCAGTTGGGGGGAGGGGCCGATTGAATCTGCTTTTCCCACCGGAGCTCCTTTGGGGGATTCTTCCCCAAATTTGCTCTAAACCTGGACAAGTTGCAAGCCTGTTCTCCTAGAATCTGTCCTTGGGATGCTGCTTTTCTTTCCAGAAAAACCCGATGCAGAGGCAGGTAAGGCAGAACCTGCCATTTCACCATTTCAACTACAGGGGCCACCTGGTTTCACCTGGGCCACACGGACTGTTGTTTTGGTTTTTTTTTTCCCTGAGTTCCTGATGTAAAAACTGGAATCTCTGGAGAGCCATGACCTGAATGCTGGAGCTCAGCAGGTAGGAGCAGAGTCTGGGAGATGCCACTGTGCTGGGAGCACTCGGAGCTCTGGGAGAATCTGGATTCTGATGGATGGGGGGTGGCAGGGGTGGCACCTGCAGAGGTAACTGTGACTTCCTGACCCTTGGAATGAGCTTCCCAAAGCCGAGGGATGCCTCAAGCAGAGCAGGGAGGCTCTGCAATGGAACATAGCCCAGAAACTCTTCCAGCCGGCCACCCCCAAAGCCCCGGGGCTTGGCGCCTGGCTTTGGGCTGAGCTCTCGGCTCCCTCCTTCCTCCTGTCCCTCCTCCCTGCCTGAGGCAGGAGCCGCAGGGCTGCGGGAGCAGGGGCTGCAGCCTCGCTGCTGCCTGCGGAGCCGGCGGCGGAGCGGAAAGCGGGGTAGGTACCCCGGGGGGATCGGGCTGGGGCTGCCTTCCCCCGGGCAGGGCTGCTCCTGCCTCCCTGCTGCAGCTGGGAGCTGGGGAAAACCGCGGGAGCTCGGCGAGCAACAGGTCTGTGTGTGTGTGAGAGAGAGAGAGCTGGAATGCTGCTGCCACTCCTGGAGGTGCCCTGGTTGGCAGGGGGGCACAACACTGCCTGCCCCGGGATCCCGGTGATGCCAGGGACCTGCCGGCTGGGAACAGCCCCCCTTGGGCTGCCCGGGGTGGGCAGGGCTGGGATAAGGAGCAGTTTGGGATGGGGATGGCAGCAGGTGCCGCTGAGCCTCTGCCTTTGGGGTTCCAGCCCCCGTGTTGCAGGAGGGCCTGGGCTGGGAGCTGCAGTGCTCTGCAGAGCTCCAGAATTGGGGAAAGAAGATCCTGGGGCTGTTTGTTTTGTTTTGATTTTTCTCAGTGATTAAGACAAGTTTTATTTTGCTCATTTTATGACAAGACATAATTTTATTTTGCTCTTCTATCAGTAGCAGGTACCTCCAGTAGGAGGAAAGTGTCTGGAGCTTGAAGTAGCTCATGTTAGCATTTAAATCTGAACTTGCCAGGGGCTGCAAAGTCTGAAATGCAGTGACATCAGTTTGGGGTGTTTTGCTGGGGAAAGGTGTGTAAACAAGTGTAACTCTGAGCATTTCCTGAGGCTGGTAGGTAGGATGGCACCTCATCCCAAAAGAACAGATCTGTGCTGCTGGTTTTTTTTCCAAAAGAAAATCCTACCAAGGAAAACTTCCTTGCAGTCCTTGCTGTTTGGACTGCTGTGGGTTGCAGCTGTCATTTACTGAGCAGAATTGGCTTCAACTGGAGTCAAACCAGGAGGTTTCCCAGGTAACCTCTCAGCGTGTCAAATTCCTGACATCAATCAGAGGTACCTATCCATGGTATCCAGGTAAGGCTTAGACTTTGGTGTTAATTAAAATTGAGTCACCGAGGCAGCAGCAAATGGAAATTCAAGAGCACTAAAAGGATTCAAATCCTCAGAGCAGGTCACAGGGAAAAAAAAAAATCAATGATTACCTAAAATCCCTGTGTGGATGTGATGGTGATGTAAAGGGAGCAGTCAGAAGGTAGGAAGGTGCAAGGAGATTTCTGCCCTTCCACAACCACCATCTTTCTGCATTTAAACCTCTGCTGCCACCCTCACAGCCAGTTCTTCTCCTGTGCACTTATTTTAGACTAAAGGCATTGCCTCTGGGCAAATCCAGCATGGGCTGAGGTGGAGTGTTCTGGATCCAACCCCAGGGTGCTGCACAGGGAGCTCACCTGTCCTGCCCCTGGGCCAGGCAGGCTGCTCTGCCCAATTCCTAGTGAGGCATAGTCCAATGCTCGGCAGCTCAGGAGCTTGGCTGGGGGGTGAGATGGTGTTTATTGTGACAGGCTGTAAGTCATGGTGCCCTCACTGTGTGACCAAGTCATGGGCTGTCTGCTCTCATGCCTGTCTCACAGAGGGCAATGGCACTTCTGTGCCAAAAGAGACGGAAATGAAACAATTCCATGGCTCTGGCTGGTGCAAAGAACCCCTGAGGTGTGCTCTGGGATAGGTTTGGATTTTCTGGTATTTCACTTGGCAGTGATTACAGGATCCTCTGTGCCCCCCATTTTGGGGGGACACAAACTGCCTACTGGCAGAGCTGTCTCCTGTACCTGCTGCATTAGCCTTCACTGGCTGATGGGCCCCTAAAACACTTCTGTTGTTTGCCAATCCTGTCCTCCACTGAGACTCTCTCATGATTGTCCCACTTTTCAGGGGTGTCATTTACCTCTATCTACCTGCTCCCCAATTACTCCCCTCAGTTTCAGTGCCCAATGACAGGGCTGTCAGGGAGTGACTCATGAGCACAGGCTGAGCTGAAAGGTGCAATTTAGGAGGCTCGTGTCCCATTTGTGGGGAATTTAGTGCTGCCAAGAGCCCAGCAGGGATCATTGATTTAGCTCTTCCTATAGACCAAACCCCAGCACTCACTGCTGAACTGCTGGAGCATCTCTCCAGGGAAAAAGCTGTGGCCAGCCCAGATATTCTGTGGGGTCCCTGCCCAGTTTTCAGCGATGGATGGGAAACTGCTACTTGGAGACTGGATCCCAGGAGAACTTGAGTAATTTCCTACTGAAAGCTTTTAAAAGAGGGACTTGCTTCCAAGGTAAGGCAGCTAAAATCTTATTGCTTGCCAGGCTTCTGAATAAAGTGGTGGCATAAGTGTGCCTGGGTGTGGAAATCTTACTTTAACCTGATTTCAGGGAGCAGTTGGCTGAGATTTTAGTTAAGATTTAAAACAGCCTGTAATGCATCAAATAAAAAAAATGTATTTAGAAGCTTAAAGGTTGACTAATCATGAATTAAAGGGGGAAAAAAGGGATTATAATGACAAGAAATAGGTAAGCAGCCTTGGCTCTAATGAAGCAGGGTGGAAATTATAATTATATATATATATTATATATATATATATATATATATATATATATATATATATATATATATATGTATAAAAATACAGAGCCATTACCAACTTGCTGTGAATGCCTCACCTGCCATTTGCATCTTCTGATTTACAGTTATAATTTGGCTTTGAATGAAATGTTTTCTATTCCCAGCTTGAGTGGATGAGTAATATGCAGCTAAGTCTGGTGTTTATTCCAGTCATCCTGCTGATAGCTTTGTTCTCCATCATTTGAAGTTTGAGATCTTTCAAAAAGAAACACCTAATTCAAAAAGAAATACCTACAAACTATTTCCTTTGGCCCCAGCTCAGACTATGCAGACAAATGACTCTGAGGGGAGGATAAGCAGTTTAAGCTCAATGAGAGGAGATGTGTGTGCAGCTCCAAAATAGGCACATCTGCCTGGGATTGCCCATTTCAAAATGAGAAATTTGCTTCTCAAGGTGCACTTGTTTTTCTTTATGAAAGTAAATGTCAGTAAGAAATAATGATTTGATTGCAACTGGCTATTTTTAAGGGTGTGTTTTCTTCCACAGCTCCTTTCTCTCAGCTGGAAACCTACTGGGATATTTGAGCTTATTTGGAGATGAACCACTCTGAGGTGTGTCATATAAAATATGATGGAAATATTGATGGATGAAAAAGTTAAATACTTAAAGAGTAAGTTCTATTACCTTAATTCACAAATATCCCCAGAGTCCCCAGCTCAAGCCCTGCATGGCCCAGACCAAACACCTCCTGCACCACTCCCTGTGGAACTGGGAATGGGGGGTTTGGGGTGGCTGCAGGTCCCCCTTGCTCTGAAAAAGAAGCCAAGAGGAGCCCAGAATCCCATGGGCTGTGCATGGGTCCCTGTGGAACAGCATTTCAGGTTTTTAGTCAGTGGCTCCTTCCTGGTTCCCTATGGCAGAGGATGATCCATGAATTTCTCTCTCCCTTATTTCTCAGACACTCACAGACCAATGTCCTGCTCTTTTTGCCATCCTTCAGGGGCTGTGTTTTGCCCCTGGGAATTTCTCACTTTTCAGCAGACCAGGGATCATTTTCCAAAGTGGGAAACCTTGGGAACTGGGAGCCCTGGGAAGTCTCTGTTCTTGTGCCATTACTGAGCTCAGGACAAGGGAAGAACAAATTTTTCAGCACTTACCACATTGAATGTTCTTCATGTACAGCTACATGCTCCTGCTGTTCCTCCCATCTCTGAAGTCTCCTTATTTTTGTTTCAGCCTCAGAGGATCCTGTGAGGGTATTTCACACATAAAAATGAAGATATCAAGATGACAAACCCAGCAGGTTTTGCACAGGGGTGAGGCAGTGGTGGCTGCTCCAGGGGATTTCTTCCACGTGCCCAACATAAAAATAATGGCATCACTTCATAATGGCTTGGAACTGCTGCTCTAAGGAGGGAAAACTGAATTTCTCTGCCCAGAGGTACACAATTGTCCTGGTCAGGCTGTGAGATGTTACATTGTGTATCTGTCCATGGAGGCTGTGTCTGGGATTCCAGCAGGGAATGAGCCTCCTGTGCTTGGGAACCCACTGTGGGTTGGGGCAGTTTTCACTCAGGGAGGCTCCCTCCCACTTTATTCCTTTGCAGATTTTCTCTGGCCTATTAAATGAAGGAGGGAGGCCTTGCTCTTATCAAGTTACCACGTGGAAGCAGATTACTGTTATTCATCATCTTATACCAATTAGGTATTGCATAATTTTTTCTCTTTTCTTAGATGATTTATGTTTCTGTCCCCTGTGCCTCTCTCAATTGTTTATCACTGCTTGTTTTAGCAGGCAAGGCCCCTGTGAAAACACAAGGCACTGGCTTAATTTCTCCTTCCAGCCAATCCTTCTCCCCCTCAGCTTCAGGATAATAGAAATCCATGGAGCTTTTCCATTTCCTGTCATCTGAAGTGTTTGCACAGCCACTTCCCTATGCCTGCACAGCCAAAATTTCATTAGTGCAACTGGGAGGAGACTCAGCTCCAGTTTTGCCTCAAGGCTGTTTACAACTTCTTGTTTACCAGCTGTGGACAAAAACTATTCCAGAGATCATTGCTGAGAAGATTAGAAACTGCTGCCTCACAGCACAGTGTCAGAAACAGAGAGAGAATACAAAATATGTATCCAAAATAACCATTATTCCTCCTGCTTTTAGTGTGATAAGGGACAGCCCTGTCATGGCATGACCAAGAACTTCTGCCTCAGATCATCAGAGACCCCTGGAAAAGCCAAACTCCAGCACGTAAGGGAGGAAAGGCACCTCTAGGGACAGCATAGGGACAGCTGGGCATGGGAACTGGGAATGTGGTGGGAGCCAAAAGCAACCTTCCCCTGGCCACAGTGTCTCCCTAAAGCAGCTCCTCTGGGAACCAAAAGATTATGGCAGAAAATTAGTGGGTAATAATAATAATAATAATAATAATAATAATAGTAATAGTAATGTGGTGAAGAGCAGCAAAGGGAGCAACAGGAATGCTGCTTTTTAATGGAGAGAGCATCTCCTGGGATTTATAAAGCCCAGCTCCAGGTCTGGGATTAAAGGAGCAGTGTAAACTCATGTTGTCAAACGTCTGTGTTGGCATTCTGTCAGAGTTCCCCACCTTGAGCCCAGGCTGGGGTGCAAAAGCACCGGTGCTGCTTCCTTGAGGGATCAGGAAAAGGGGCATTAAAGCACTTCTCACAAGGCTGACTCTGAGCTCTGGCTGGGGAAAGCATTTGGCACATCAGACATCTCAATAAGATCACCTCCAATGATTTTGAAAGCATGTTGAGTAAAAACTAGTCAAGATAAATAAGCCTTTGTCTGTAAGGACAGCCCCACAGAATGTACAACTATTCCTACACTTGTTCAAACCTGCAAGCAGCTGGTTTTTGGTGAGGGACTCCAGATTTTTGTCTCCCTGCCTGGCTGTGCAGGCATTTAATAAGTCTGTAAAATACAGACCCATTAAGACACTGCCCTGCTGCTGATTTCTGAACAGGCACAAGAGAGCAGAACATGATGGGTTTTCACTGCTCTGCTTGTTCCAAACCTGTGGCACAGTAGAATAAATACTTTTTTTTTTTACTACATTTAGTTGTTGAGAGGAAAGCACTTGCAAGGGCTTTGTTGAGCTTTCATACAAGCACATCAGGATTCAGGTAACTTGTGCCTAAATTTAAATCCTATTTCTATTAAGGAATTTGGAGCATCTTGAAAGTACTTGCGCTCACACTTGAATTTCATGCCTGCTGCTACCAATTAATTTTGCCCCCTGCTTCTTTAGGCATCCTCATCTGGGAGACAAAATGTATGTGGAAAAGAGTTTGGAATGCTGCCTCCAAGTCAAGTTAGCTGCTTGGAAATGAACCCAGCTCTCTTGTAGCTCAGCATGTTTCAGACACAGTGTGGTGCTTCTTGATTGCAGCCTTGGAGTTAGGTAGCTTGTGAGCAGGGAATTAAATCCTCCAGCTGCACACAAAACCATCTCATGTCCATGAAATAGGGCTGGATTTGGATACTTGCAGGCAGAAGACTTGTGCCACTTGAGAAAGCTTTAATCCCTTTTTTTTTTGTGCTGGAGTTAGTGACTTTTTAGTGATTATTGTTCAGCCACCTCACTGCTGCCAGGGTGCATGTGAGTTTCACGCTTATTTCAGCACACAGTGCACACAAAACAGGTAACAATGTATAATAATAATGATAATAATAATGATATCATCACATTGCTTCAGATCAATTGCAAGCTGACTAAAGTGGCCTCTTTACAAATATCTTTTAGGGCACATTAGAACACAAGGAGGAGAATGGACTCAAACTCCTCATTGGAGTGGCCTCACTTGGATTTGCTGGATTACAACAGGACGTACAAGTACCTTTACCTGGAAGGAAATGTCTCCTACGTGGACTTCTACCTCCACCAGCCTTGGGTGGCTGCTGTCTTCATCACCTCCTACCTGCTCATCTTCCTCCTGTGCGTGGTGGGCAACGGGGGGGTTTGTTTCATCGTGCTGTGGAGCAGGCACATGCGCACGGTCACCAACCTGTTCATCCTGAACCTGGCCGTCAGTGACTTGCTGGTGGGGCTCTTCTGCATGCCCACCACCCTCCTGGACAACATCATTGCAGGTGGGCTGGCTGCCCGTGGGGTGGGGAGAGCCAGGGGTGTGTGTCCAGGGGGCTCTGTGGGCATTCTGAGTCAGTGGAAGGTGTCCCTGCCCATGGCACGGTGTTCCTGGCCATGGCTGGAACCACCCCATGAGTCTACAGTTCTACTCACGAAATGGAAGATGAGAGCAAATTATTTTAAGCAGAGTCCTGCAATGAGATGGCAGCAATTCCAAAATGCCTGTTTCCTTGCAGGGTGGCCCTTTGGGAGCCTGGTGTGCAAGATGAGCGGGATGGTCCAAGGCATCTCTGTTTCTGCCTCTGTCTTCACCCTGGTTGCTATTGCCGTGGACAGGTAAGATGCTGCAGAGTCTGTAACCACCAGTGTCATCTCCCCTGGCCCCCTGACCACCCTGAGCCCTGTCATTAACCCTCCCAACACCACAACAAATCCAATGCATTTTGCTCCTAAGCAAAATAAAATCTGGGCAGGTCTAAAGAGCAATCTGCTCCTCCAGCGGTGTCTCTTAAAGAGGGTGGAACTGGGCTATCCCAGCCTGCCTGCAATTGGTTTGTTTCTCAGCCATGAAGCTGGATTGCATAGGCAGCAATTGCCAGGGAGGATGAAAGACAGGCAGTTTAAAATGTGCGTGCATCCCTGCCCGGGATAGGAGGCGTTCCTCACACGGCTTCTCCGGTGCCCTTGCCGCAGGTTCCGGTGCATCGTGCACCCCTTCAAGCCGAAGCTGACCGTCCCCACCGCTGTGGCCGCCATCGCGGTGATCTGGGCGCTGGCCGTGGCCATCATGTGTCCCTCGGCGGCGCTGCTGCGGCTGCGGCAGGAGAAGCGCTTCCAGCTGCTCCTGGGCACGGGCAACGCCACCCGCCCGGTGTTCTGGTGCCGGGAGGAGTGGCCCGAGCCGGCCATGAGGAAGGCCTACACCACAGTGCTCTTTGCCAACATCTACCTGGCTCCGCTGGCGCTCATCGCGCTCATGTACGCCCGGATCGGCGTTTCCCTGTGCCACGCCGCCATGCCCGGGCCGGGGAAGCGCGGCCGGGAGCAGCGGCGCGGAGCGTGGAGGAGGAAGCGGAAAGCCATCAACATGCTGGTCCTCGTCACCCTGCTCTTCGCCCTGTCCTGGCTTCCCCTGTGGAGCCTGATGCTGCTGTCGGACTACGGCAGCCTGTCGGACGTGCAGCTGCGGCTGATCAATGTGTACATCTATCCCCTGGCTCACTGGCTGGCCTTCTCCAACAGCAGCGTCAACCCCATCATCTACGGCTTCTGCAACCGGAGCTTCCGCCGCGGCTTCCAGGCCGCGCTCCGGCTCCAGCTCTGCTCCAGGCCCGCCTCGGCCCAGCCAGCCCCGGGCCAGGCCGCCCTGCCCGCTGCCCCCTGCCCGCCGGCCCAGGATCTCCCTCCCCACACAGCCAAGGCAGGAAACTGGGTTAATAAGCAGCAGGATTTGCTCATGGAGGAGCTCGAAGAGAATGGGATGGAGTGAAAGGTGCTGCGATTCTGAGAATCTCTCTGTTCCCCATGGAACAGGGCTGCTTGAACCCTGTTTGTGGTCATGTTTCATTCCTGTGAGGAATCCCTCATCCTGTAACTCTCATGGACTGAAATACTGCAGACCCAGGCTGGCACCCAGCCACTCCTGGATTATCTCATGGTTGTGCTTCTTCCTATTGTGAACGCTGGGTCCTGCTCAAATGACAAAATTTAGCATTTTCCGTCACATTCCATTTATTCCCCTTGGTTGCTGTTATTTCTGTCACGTCCATTATTATTGCAGCTAGAGAAACAAGTGGAAATGGAAATTTGAGAAATAAAGGATAAAAAAATTTGTTCGGTGGTGTGTTTTTTGGGGAACTTGATTTGATGTTGCAGGGGGATAGAAGTCACCCAAAAAGACTGAAATTTAAATACGAACAAGAGAGAAAACACTTGAGAGCCCATTGGATGGGACAAACCCCAGCAAGGACAAGAGTGACACTGGAGGAATAGTGAGGAATGGAATTTGTGCAAGGAGCAGCACAGGATCGCAGAGCACCAAGGCTTATTCTGTAAGGCCCTACAGGAGCCAAATCCCAGGTAAAGCCATTCCCTAGGGCAGTCCTCCCTCAGATAAATAGGAGTGACTTCCACATTATGACATTCCCTGCTGCTCACTGTCTCAAAATGATCATTCTCTTCCCTACACATTACCTCAATTGTATCCTCAAACCTTTGCCTGAATGTGCCTCAGTTTACCTCCAAATGTTCATTTTGTGCACTACAGCCTACCTCAAATTTGCTCCAGAAATTTTTCCCTGTCTGTCCCCTGCTTGTTAAGTCATTTTCTCTTCACAATATTCATTTGCCCTAGGGAACAACTCAGATTTATGGAGGAGCATTTCTCCCTCATTTTAAGAGGAACATTTCTCCCACAAGCACACACTTTCTTTCACTCCATATCTAGTTGAAGAAACACCAAATCAGTGCTTGGCTCTGACATAAAAGAAAGGAAAAGGAGATTTTGCTGGGATTTGGGACACGGGGTCTGTCCCCCCTCACACGATCCCCGAGGAGGCGGGAATGGGAGAGGGCGAGGCGAGAGCGAGGCTATGGCAAGGGTGAGAATCTCTGATCTCTGAGTTTGCCTTGGCATCCCAGAGCCTCTCCCCGTACAGATTATGAGGGGAACCTTTACTGAATCGGTTGGTACTGATCTTTTTTGTGTTGAATTGATGCATTTTACTCATTTTGTGTCATTTAAGCTTTAAGTGGCATTTTTAGGTGGCACTTCCTGTGGGGCTGCTGATGTGCTGAGGGTGGCTGTTGATGCTGGGAGAGGCAGTTTCCCTGCAAAGCTTTTCTATAAAACATAAATATATGAAATAATGGAGTTTCTATGATAAGAACAGGACTTAGGCTCCCAATAGAGAACTGGGGTGTACTGGGCAGGGACTGGGAAGCATGCAATTATTTCTGTGTTAATTTCTCCAAACATTTATTTCTGTCTGTTGGCTTCAAAACTTGTTTGTAACTTCAAAAACTAGAGCTGCATCACAGATGATATCCAAGCTCTTCTTTAGGATAGGGAGCAGAACCCAGGTTCAAGTATATTGAAACAATGCCAGGAAAACATAAATCTCCCAGAAAATAGCAGAAAATAATGCATTATAAATGTCTTTATTTCAGGCAAGTGCCTGCCACCAAAGTGGGTGAATATTCAGCTGTACTTACTGAGATAACACACAGGTGATGCACTGGCACTGATTAATGTGATTTGCTGCCAGGTTGTTGGGACAGCCGGAGCCCCGGCGGTGCGGGGCCTGTGTTGCACTGCAATGGGGGCACCCGCAGAGCGGCTCCGGCCCCGTGTGGGGATCCCAGCGAGGGCGGGGGCGCCGGGCTCCGGCCCTCAGGGCTTTATTAATGCCCGGCACCCCGAGCCCCGCGGCTGCGAGGGAAGGAGGAGAGGGGAGGACGGGGAGACAGGAGAGATGGGGGTGGTGAGGACGGGGAGGGAGAGGGGTGGGAGTGAGGAGGGAAGCGGGAGAGGAAGGGAAAGGCCGAGGGGGAGAAGAGGGACGGTGGAGAGTGGAGGAATAGAAGGGAGAAGCGGAGAAGGGACAGGATGGGAAGCAGTGGGGGTGGGTCCAGTTTGGGAGGAGAGGAAAGGAGCGTTTAAGGGCGAGAGGAAAAGGGGAGAAAGAAAGGGAATACGCGGAGAAGGAGGGAGGGGTAGAGAGAGGGACAGAAGGGGATGAAGCAAAGTGAAAATTTTCCAGGATAGAAATCCATTTTAATTTAGGTGAAATGTACATTTTTGAGTTGAATCTGTGGTTAGAAATCGTAGTTATTAAGCCAGACTGCAAGGCCTAAGCTCAGTGAAGTTACTTCAGCGAAGAACAGAGATAAAGGGGGGGAGACAGAAGATGATAGAGACAGGGACTGCTGTAAGGGCAAGTCAACCTGACCTAGGAATTCTTTCTGATAAAAAGGAACTAGTGATAAAAGTCACACGAAACCCATAAAAATGAATATGTATGAACCTATTGTGAAACTGTATGCATATGTATTTGAGAGAGAGATAAAAAGAGACCTGAAGTTCTCAGAGGTACGCATGCCTTTTTTGAGGAGAGCAATCTCCGCACGCGTCCAGCGCTGTAATAAACATACCAAGCTTTACAACTTTTACAAAGTTGTGAGGTTTCTTCTTTTCTGCGCAAAACAGGGAGGCCGAAGCCTCCGCGCCTCACCTGCGGAGCCCGCACAGGGAGCTCCCGTCCGCACCGTGCTCTGAGTGAGCAATTGGCGATCGAGGCGAATTCCGGGGTCTGAATTACCTCGGCCCCGCCCCGCGCAGCCGCCCTGGGGCCCCGCACACCTGAGCTCTGCCCGCCCTGCACGCCTGAGCTCTGGCCCCGCCCCTTGTGCCGCCCGGCACCGCCCCTGGCCCCGCCCCTCACCCCTGTGCTGGCCCCGCCCCCGGCACCGCTGTCCCGCGGGGGCGCCGCGCTCGCACCGCGCTCCGTGTCCGCCAGAGGGCGCCCTGCGGGGTCCCGGCCCCACACGGCGGCTCCGCGCCCGCACCGGGGAACGGCCGCGATCCCGCACCCGGCAGTGCCCCGTGCCCGCGGCCGTCCCGGGCCCCAAACCGATCCCGGGCCCGGTGCCACCTCCATCCTCCCGACGGGGGAGAGGCGGCACCGCCCGGGACCTCGGCAGACCCCAGCAGTGCTCGGATCCGCACCCCCGGCCGCCGTCGCGGCCCCGCTGCAGCATCCCGTGCCCGCACTCTGTGGCCCCGTCCCGCTGTCCCGGCACCCTCGCTCGGCGCTGTGTGAGCCCCGGCCCCGTGTGGCGGGGACCGCTCGGAGCCCGGAGCGCTGCGGCGGGGCCGCGACTGGGGACGGGGCTGTGAGACCGAGTCCTGCCGGTGCCCGCTCGCGGGGCGGTGCTGCCTTTGCCCCGGCGGGAGGGTCGCGGCTCTCGGCCGGACTGGGGTTGAGACTGGGCAAAGCCCAGCCTGGGCTCGATGCCCGCTCCTGCTACGATGCCGGGACCACGCTGACCGTAAGCGGGCGATGGAGCCCACAGCCGGAGCCGGGATGGGCGTTCGGGTCCTGCCGGGGGGTCCTGGGCGGTGTCGCCTGTCCCCGTCGGGCGGATCGAAGCGGCACCCGGATCGGTTTCGGGCCCGGGATCGGTTTGGGGCCCGGGACGGCCGCGGGCACTGCCGGGTGCGGGATCGCGGCCGTTCCCCGGTGCGGGCGCGGAGCCGCCGTGTGGGGCCGGGACCCCGCAGGGCGCCCTCTGGCGGACACGGAGCGCGGTGCGGGCGCGGCGCCCCGCCGGGGATCCGGGGCTCTAGGGCCCTGCCGGGAGAACGGCGGCAGCGGTGTTTCGCGGGTGCCCCCGGTGTTCTGGAAGCCAGAGCGGCCGCCTGTCTGTCCCTCCTCGGGCGGCCCCACGAACGCACCTGGCCTAGGAGGTGGCACTGACCGTGCGCTCCCAGCTCTGCCTTCAGCATTTCCTGCCTTCCGTGCCTCGGGAGCTTAGGGAGATTCAAACAGCGGCTTTTTCCCTGCCACAGTAAGGTGCGGCTCATCTGACAGCTGCCAGGCGAGATCTGATCCTCTCCTTCCTCTCCCTCAATTTTCCCGTACATCACACTCTCCAATGGCAAAACTTCCGTTTTTCAAAATCCCGTTAAAATATTTAATTTTTATTTCCAGTCGGGGAAGGTCCTGCCTGGGATGGAAATGGCTAAAAGAAGAGGAAACAAAAATGCCAAAACCAGACGCTGCCACATGAGTGAAAGCAGGGAAAGCCTCGGGGTGTCCAAGGTTTGTTTTATTGTCACGTCTGAAGCCTCTGCTGATGGCCAGTGCCACGCTTATTTCCCCCGAGGCACCCCACAGGGCCGCCAGGATGTTGCCAGAATTGTATCTTTGGGGCCCCCATCCCCTCAGAGCATTAAATGGCTCCATCCTGGGCACTTCTTACAGGGGAGCAGCGATTGCACATGAAACTTTAATCACCACTGAGAAACGAGAGAGACCTGTGATAAAAAACCTTTTTTTAAAGAATAAGATCAACAATTTCTCCACAGCAGTTGAGCAGTTTCAATATGCATATGACACAGCATCTAATTCCATCTCCAGATTTGATCTTGGCAAAAGGAAGAGTCACCTGCCCTCAGCATACATATTTAGTACACAAAACAATGTCAAGAAACCCACTTTTAATAAATATCTGCAGTTCTCACTCCTATAGACAAGTACTTTACAGCGCTGTGCCGGGGAGAGCCCGGCCGGCTGGGCTGGGACAAGGTGGGGGTGGACATAAATTAATTATTGCAGTCAGATGCGGCGTGGGCAGGGAGGTCTGGAGCTGATCCACGTTGGAAATATAACTATCTCTCACACCTCGAAATCCATCTTGAAACTGCTTTCAACACCAGCCCTTGGAATGCTCATAGGGCAGAACTTGATGGCCGGCACCTGGCACTGG